ATCTTTCATTTTTTGATTGTTGATAAACTTAGCAAATAGATTACCTCTTTGCATTATGCCATCTGCTTTCAAATGTTTGTCTGATTCTTTTGTTTTTATGACTATGAGGAGGATTGTTAGATGCAGTAGTAATCTGGGAAAGGGTCTGTTACCTTTACTAAAATTGAATAAAAAGATGTGATTTTTGTAAGTAGTATTGTCATGTAATAATATTGTTGTTTTTAATCAAGTGTTGCTCTCTTTTTATTTGAATTTTAACAAAGGAAAAGTCTTGCAAAATTATTATAATGTAAAGGTTTAAGACTTCTTTCTCTCTACATAATGCTTACCAATCATGTTTTGTTTATATGTGATTACTACAGAGTTTTTGCACTGGTTGTTATAATTGCATGAGAATTCAGTTTTTGTCTGGAGGTATATTTCTGTAAGCGTGGCTTCTGAAGATCCACAATGAATTTCTTCTTTTTCAGGAAAAAGTTATATTTCTCTTTCTTGCTATTGTTGTTTAAATTTTCTAACTTCAGTGGTGCTTGGGTTGTAGGCCAATGTAGTTCCACACTTACAGCAATAAGATCAGACAACAGTTTGTAAACCTTTTTCTATTCAATTAATTTCCTTGATTTATAAAACTTTTTTTTTTTTAATGTACAAGAAAGCAGCTCCAGAATTTTGTATTAACGTATCATTCAAAGACATGTGTATAATTATGATTACAAACCATACTCCACAGAATAACTTGGGCATTCTTGAAAATCCAAAGTGCTGTATGGTATGCTATAGAATTCTTTTCCCCAATCGTTTTGGGTTGTGCCCATGAGTAATTGAATGGACCAATGGTATTAATGGTCCACCTCTCAATTGCATTCCATCATTACAGAATCCGTAGTCCAGGAATAAGGTATAGAATTTCTCCATTCAGTTGCCACCTTGTTAGTCATGTATAAATGTACAAAGTATGTAATTGATAAGGTTTTAAAACTCTATTCGGATGTTTTATGATTGCAACATTATGCTAATGATGCTAAAGCAGTTCAGTGCAGTAATTCCCTCAGTATAACAGAGATATATATATATTTTATAGAGCTGTTTTTTTGTGATGATGCTATATATCTTTCATATAAATTAATAAATGCATATAAGATATATACACATATATATATATATACATATATACTTATATATATATATATATATATATATATATATATATATATATATATATATATATATATATTATATATATATATATATATATATATATATATATATATATATATATATATATATATATATATATATATATATATATCAGATATATCAAATGTCAGCCTTTACAAGTTTATTACCATCTTATGTTTACAAGAGGGATTTCACAAATACCATTAATTTTTTTTGTCTGTTGCAATTGTCAGAAAAAGCAACACACATTAGTTGATGCAGAAGTTTTTACTGTATCCCTGCGGTGCAAGTACAATAATAGGATTACAAAGTTTGTATTATTATTTTTATTGTTTTTTTCTTTTTTTTTCTTTTCTTTTCTTTAGCAAATGTGCAATGCCAGTGTGTTGTGAGACTTTTAAAGTGTGTGTTGGAATGCAGCTATAGGTGGATAGAACCTTGACGGAAAATATCTGTAAGACTTTGATGCCATGCTAGGATGTGCTTGCCTCATTTTAATCAGGAAGTAAAGGCTATCATTATACGCTACAAAAATGAGGATGATGGTGACTGCTTTGTAGAATTATGTAAGATTTTTTTTTTTTAAGTTTGTTCAGTGTATAAGGGAAGAGACATTGTTATTTTTTTGCAGAATGTTTTGATATAACCAGATTTTAGATTCTAAGAGATATTTTGTTGAATTAATTTAAAATGAATTATTTATTATCCTTTTTTGTAGATCTACATATTCATGTACAAGTATACATCTCTGCATATTCAAACAGTGGCATATATATATATATATATATATATATATATATATATATATATATATATATATATATATATATATATATATATATATATATATACACCTAAAAAATACAGGGAGCACCATCAAGGGAATTAGACCATTGGGTCTCCAAATATGTAGGTAAGCCACTGTATACAGATATGCATAGCTAATATACATATATATATATATATATATATATATATATATATATATATATATATATATATATATATATATATATATATATTACACACACACACACACACACACACACACACACACACACACACACACACACACACACACACACACACACACACACACACACACACACACACACACACACACTCACACACACACATACACACACACACACACACACACACACACAAATGTTGCTGCACACTCAAACACATTATTATATGTATTGTTAATATATTTTTAGTGTGAACATGTATCATTGTTTTGGTATGATGGTATTAAAATCAAGGATCTGCCCACCACCTGTCCATCACACCTCACCTGTGTGAAAATACACACATCAGT